TCGAGATCCTGTGCCAGCAACAAAGGAGAAAAATATTACCAGACACCGTCAGCACTTTACCATAGGAGGAAGTTTGTCTTATAAGTATCATCTTCCCTGCTGAGACATCTTTACCTGAACACTACATTGTCGCACCAAAGGGTTATTTGAGTAGAATAAAAGAAGTGTGATGACATACTAAAAGGCTTTAGCTCGCTAGACACGAGTTTTGTTTTGCCAATTGAGCATACAACGATGCATTTCAGTCGCAAGGAATATCATCATACCATAAGGAGCACCAGCAATTGTTAAAAAATTTAAAATTAGCCAGACATTACTCACAGAGTGGTTTATTTGAAGGACAATTAGCACCTAACTTCATCAGTGCATTTGAACAAATTGTGTAGAAATCATTTGTTAATTTGGATGGGGGGAAAGCGAGTTAAGATAGGCCTCAATCAGGCAACTCACAGCATCTGTGCGCTTTAGGTATCCACTCTCCGCCATAGAGCCTGAGTTTGGTGTTGCCGAACGCTTGGACCTGGTGTCACTGAGGCCACTTTTGGATTTCATGGAAGCGTCTTCCCCCTCTCCCTCCTTCTCTGCCTTATCATTCTTTTTAATTGGGTGGCCTCTTTGGTAGTCGCGAAGAGGAATGAAAAGGCAGCCAGCAGCGAAGCAATGCAACGACATCGCTGCCATAATGGCCATGCACCCGCGCCATGAATAGATCTTTAACAGTTTCGGTAGAATGGCGGAGTAGACAGCCGTGCCTATGCTGCTACCGCACATTGAGATGCCTGTAGCAGTGGCACGAAGCTTTGCAAACCACTGCGACACTATCGTCGCTGCTGGCAAGTAGATCATGCCATAGCAAGTACCTTTGATAAATGGGCTTAAATAAAGGTCCACTCAGCAACAATGTATGCATCAATCGTACCACAAAATCAGAAAAGACAAAAAAAGATAGCAAAACAATTTGTAAATTGGCACAATAAAAGGCATATTTCAAGTTAATTAAACGTAAATGTTTCACATTTGGAGGAGATGTTTTTTGTGATGCTAAACTTGTCCTAAAAGCACTTTCACACCTCGCCCAATCAGTTACCACAGCAGGAACATACAAAGAGTTGACAATGGTTTCTATAATTATTTGGCAGCACTTTATATTAGTAAACAGTGCATGTGAATTATTTATGGGATGAGATTATTTGCTTTGCCTAGACATGGTGTCAAAAACGCCAACGCTCCGTACACTAGAGGAGTTGACACCAGTGCACATTGAGCCCGAATGGTAGGTCCGACAAATTGTTGAACTAAGAAAGCACAAAACCTACATTGTCTTATGCATAAAAATGTCACACACACATTTGCACCAAAATGTAGAAACGGAGTGCACTTTTGGAAGTAAAAGAAACTTCTTGGCTCTAAATTTGCTTAAAAGGGCAACTTTGGATGCCTACCATCGCGCCCTCGGCACTTAAAGTAAAGTTAAGGCCAGGCCAGTAGTCCTAAGCTTGTCTGCACTTTGGGAAATATCCACATTCTGACAGCATCAATGCCGTTTGTCCTCGGGAAAGTTCCAGGCAGTAGAAAGCACCACCCTCATGTCTACCACTGGATTATAAGCCTTGATAGAACGACAGAAACGCATATGCTGGTAGTTAGGAGGTCTGTCAATGATCTTTGGAGGTGAGGGATGAAAATACCGGAATACTACCTATCGCCGTGACCTACGAGAATGCCATCAACAACACTGAAGTGATGCCACCCGTAAGTCACGAAATAGGCAACTAACTTACACATAGATTTCACCTCTTTACATTTCTCACTAATAGGGTGAAACTCAAATAGATGTGGACATAAAACCTAATTTACAAGGCTCCGTATTAAAAATTAATCTTTGTTACAGGTTCATTTCTAGGTGCGTGTTCCTATGACTGCTGTTGGACACGTGCGATGGTCAGCTCATTTTCCCTTCCCG